AACGAAGCCACAATATTACCTCTCATCCCATCAGCAGCATTATGACTGCAACACCTTTATGCAATGCTTGTTTTTTTTTATTATTTTAAGCCACTAAATGTTACCGATTCTTTATTTGGTTGTTCACAAAAAGCAGTGATTCATTCAACCACTTTTTAAACGACATCATCACCATGCCTGTCTAACACTTCGTCTGGACAAAGCGCAAGGAGAACTTCACTAACATAATTCTCCTATGAAGTTTAATGTGATAAAGAATTAAACCCACAAAATACAGACCAATAGAAACCAGGCTTCTAAAGAATGAGCCTCCCTTTTTTGCTTGGACAATTATTAACTCAAATATACCATAACCCAAATGTGTCACACTTACCAACAATAAAAGTGCTAGCAAAGACAGACAGCACCACAAAAAACAAAACTACAAACCAACAATAAACATTCAAATGGACAAGTGAGGGTCTTACCTCTCAGAACTACTCCTGAGGGTGGGATGAGGAGAATCAGAAAAAAAGAGAATAACATTTTGGGATCGATTTTACATAGGATGAAAAATACTAATAGCTATTAGAAACAGTACAATATCTGACTAGGGTTGGGAAATGTCATTAGTCAAACTAGTTTCTTTCCTGACTTCTATGGTAATCAAGTGTTATTGACAGCAGATGGTTTATTTGTTAATGGCTGATGTTAAAGCTGTCATACTAACCTGCTGGTTCTTCTGTTGTAGGGGCTCCTGGGTGCTGTGGAGCTGAATCTGAACCTGCGTCTGGTCGGAGACGAGTGTTCCACTAAGTACCTGCCGCGCTTCCTGGGCTCTCTGGGTTCTAAGAAAACAATAACGGACCTCATCAAACTCTGTCAGATTTTACATTACATTTCATTTAGCTGACGCTTTTATCCAAAGCGACTTACAATTACCAATTACAGGGACGAGTAACTAAGGACTAAGTGCCTTACTCAAGGGCACACTAGTGGTGGTGGTGTTCCTGGCGGGATTTGAACTCACAACCTTCCGATCTTCAGCCCACCTTACTATCCATTAGACCACCACTATCACTATTTACAAAATACTAACATGGATTAAAGGTGCAGTGTTTAGTCTGCAGCTGCCTGCTCCACAATGAATGGAGGACAGCATGTTACCGTTACTACTGGGCCAAAACAATATACATTTACTGTCATCAGTTGTTTTAAAAAGGCGTCCGTCTCCTGGGGCTGCCAGTCATTCTACTTGACCGGAGCAAACTCAAGAACTACAGTATTCAATGCTATCAGTTGTTATATTTCTAAGAACTTACAACACAAAAAACAAAACAAAACATGAAAAGCCCTGGTATGAATTACCATCCTGTGGGGCCTGGTAGCGAACCACAGTCTTCCGTTGTCTAAAGTCATAACGCCTCTGATTTTCTTCTTCCTCATCCACGCCATCCTCATCTTCTTCATCATCTTCCTCTTCCTCCTCCTCTTCTTCATCTCCCCCCTCCTCTGCTTCCTGGTTAACCTCATTCCCTTCTGTGAATTATGAAAAAAGGGTAGAATTGTTATTTCAAATGATCCATATTTTGAAACTCAAATTAATGTTCAACTCACAGCAGAATACTTCAATCATTATTCCCAGGCACCTGAAGTGGTTATTATTGAACTACTCCATCTCACCTTGGATCTCCTCCTTGGCGTCTGTACTCTCCACATCTGTCCTCAGAGACCTTGTCAATCTGCCCCTGGTGTACACGCCAAGCTGCTACAGGGAAACAGGTCAATGCTGATTGATTCAGTTTGGAAGCTTGTTAAACATCATGAAAAAGCTAAATGACATGCTGTCAATATAATACACAATACAAAGCTTGAGATGAAGAGTGAAGTTTCCTGTGTGGGTTATTACCTCTTCTTCAGTGTCTCTATCTCTGCTCCTGAGTCTGCGTCTCATCTTCTTCATGTGATCCATCTTCTGGAGAACAGCTTCAGCAGTGCTTAGGGGCAAGTAGAGAATAAACTTGTCAGATTTAATCGAGTTTATCTCTAATCTAATTACTCATTATCTTCAAATCCACACCCACAGTCCAGTGTGTATGTTATCCCATGTGTTAAAAACTACTTAAGGTGATTGTTTAAAATGAATCAGTGAGTTAGGAAGCAAAAAGAAGCTGGGGTGAATGTGACTGAACTCACTTGGTGATGAGGCGGTCGTAGAGCACTGACTGTTTACGGGTATCCAGTTTGTATCTGGTGATTCGGGAACTTCGTCGCACTGAACCCTCCTCCTCCTCCTTCTCCTCCTCCTCCTCTTCCTCTCCCTCCTGGCTCTGTAGATTAAAGCGGCTCCTCTTGGGAGTGGATGATCCCTCCACCACATCTGAAACATCTGGGGCGATGAAAACAGCTTTTATCAGATTACTAGTAGTAGAGACCCTATTAAAAACGAAATTCTGCTAAACATGTTGTGTGTGCTATACAATGTCAGAGCTCAAGGACATTTCTTTTTAGAATTGACTTTGTAGCGAACTGTACCTTCTTGCTGCTTGCCACTGGATGCGTTCCCCTCTCTCTGCAGCCTGGAAGATTTTCTGAACAGAAGAAAGACACATACAAATCAGAACTACATACCTCATGTGAGGTATATACTCATATTTGTGAGCACATTTTTATATTTGCACAAATGAATACCCCTTGTGTAAGAGCTCCATCAAATATGATATGGCTAGCTTGTATTTGGAGCATTTATTGTTTTACATTCTATAAAAATGTACCTCACATGGTAAGCAGCAACAGACAACATTACAAATATTCATTCATGAATCTTTTGACACACGTTTTGTTATACTAAACCTCAGAGCTGCTAGCAAAAGGTTTTATGGAGATTTTGCAGGCGAAATTGTCAATACATTGACTGCCAGGACAACATTTGGTCACCTTAGAGGGTAACTGGTTAAAAAGCATTACTAATATCAAAGTGAAGGGGCCTGTATTACCTGAGGGATCCTCCTCTAGTGTTGTCTTCAATCACAGGGGAGCTGGTCTTTGGCTCCATGTCAGCAAAAGAGACATCTAGTTTAACCCTCTGCCCTCTGGTCCTCGGAGTGTGATAGGGTCCACTTCTCTCATCCTGCTTCAAATCAGCATGTCCCTGCCACATTAAGAGTTCAGAGTTTATAGCATAAGTACAAGCAAGGATGCATGTCTGCTTCTTTAATTTAAACAACTTAAATTATCATAGGCACTAGGCAGGGATGAAGAACATTTCCAGTCTGTGCAACCTGCAGTGTACTAGATACAAAACTATAAACCACTGTGACTCTTCTCTGCTATTTGTTCTTACTTAGAAGTTTAATGCAAAAGGTGTAAATCCTCACTATTACCATGTGAAATGTGTTTCCTGATTCATAATAATTCATAGCAACAAACTGTTAAATATATGTGGCTTTTTCATTCGAATTTGTCCATGAAAAATACATTAATATACATGTTTATGACTGCCAAGTCTTGACTGCTTTGTGGCAGAGACTGACTGTCCCATGACTTTACAAATAAAGACCTGCTTTTCATAGCAGAAAAAGTCAAAATAACTTAGTTTTCTTCTTTCACTAAAGCGTTACCACTATCTTCCATATATTCCACTGAGCATCATCTCTACAGGCACATTGTTGAAACACTTGTTAGTTGTCTCAGATGTTGGCTAATGGGCTAGAAATAAAGACTTAAAAGTAAGCATAAGTAAGTTTACTCTGAGAATATACTTTATCAACTGCTTTATGATCAACATATGTATTCTTAACTCCAAACATGTGGAGACTAGATAAATCATAGGGTTTCAGAATTGAAGATTGAGTAAATGAAAAAAGAATGAATGAACATATGGCTCAACTCATCCCTCTACAATCAAACTTATACCAAAGCACAACACCTTGCTAGTCAAACGATATACTAATAATAACATTTGCCTTTTTAAAGCCATGACAATACTGAACCCAAGTAACAATCAGTTATACTGTATAGTGTTTAATGATATAAGCACCACATAAATCAGCCCATGATATAAGAGTTATATACATGTTAGGAGGGACTACGAGTGCCAATTCACAAAATGTGTCAGTTGCTCCAAGTGACAAGCTGGCTAGTTAGCCTAGCACGCTAGCGAAACGAATACAGCAGAGTTAAGTGACTAGATAATTGATACACCAAATACATGGTTGTGTAGTTATCTAAGCAGCTGTCTGGGTGTAATGCTCACATTCACTGTGTTGTTTTCGGTGCTGCTGAAGCTGTCATCCAGGGCCCGGGAGGACCGAGTCTGCCGGGTGGACTTTATGTGCGACGCGGGAAGCAGCGACAAAAACTCCGAGCTTGTTTCCAACTCCATCGACCTCCTGTTCGGGGTTGTTGCTATCGGTTCGGCTCCGGGACCACCACCGCTGCTGCGTAATAACACCATCTTGACTCCAAAACGACCTTTTTCCAGCACGGACGACGGGTAAACAGCCGCGATACCGCCTTAAAATGTCGTTAACGTTAAACGTGCCGACAACATAGCACAGCTCACAGTAAATATCCGCCAGCTGACAGACTGCTCGTGCTGCTCACTAAACCCTTGATTTCTGGCGCCACAAACGTCACTAGAAGTAATGAGGACAGCGAATAAGAACTTCCGCTAGGAAGAATAGATCTCTGGGATGAGTGTGAGATAAGTAAAGCTATAAAAGTTGTTTTAATTATCGGCAATGTTACAACATAAACACTTCACCCATATTTAATGGGCATTTATCATAACATTCATCGTAATTGTTTAAGTTTCCAATACTCAACATAGGCGGAGGGATGCGTAGCCATTCTTAAAAGGTGTTCCGGCTGATCTTAGAGCGCGCTATTTCAACAATCGCGTGCAGCTTATTGTGTGTACACAGTGTACTGTGAGCACATTCACGTTTCACTTATTTAACAATAATATTTGACCAAACTGCCATATCCAAACAATCGCATAAGAATTCAAAAACACAGAGTCAACATTAACTCATCGTCTTTTATTTGAATAAGTGACAGATACCAGAAGAAAAAATACAAACTCTAGAATTGTTTCTAGCCTGAAAAAAAGAGCTTTTTGTAAAACGGCTGTACAGGCAACCAGATCCTAAGTGTAAAATCTCAACACTTTCCATTGCATCCTTCCTCCTAAGCCGATCCTCGTTTATTGTATTTCAGGGATACTAATTAGGTGCAGTCCGGTGAATAAAAGGAAAACTGTCAATGTTCAAAATGAGTAAATACCAAGTCTTTTATAAACATTAGCCTCATTACCATTTTCAATGTTGTCCTTTTTGTTCACCTAGACTAGAGGGCCATTTTGCACAATGGTTACAAGCATTTACATTCCGAGTAATGATACAGAAACATTGCTTGATTTGAAAACCGATAGAATTGCCTTTTAAACGGTAATGACAAATAAGAAAATGTAAGAATTCAATGGAAAACTTGAGATTTCACGCATCAGAGCCCACATTCCTTTTCATATACACAGCAGCCAACTGTCACATTTCACAGTACCAGGATATCCATTTTATAACGAGGCCAAATAGTTATGTGATAACATTAGTTTGCCATCTCACAGTCCCTGATGTTCAGTCTATGCAGTTGTGAAAAGCCACATAAGCTGCACACACAAGTGCCATCACAAAGTAAAGAGGGTCTGGGCATAATACTAAAGAGGCTGTCTAATTCTGCCAACTCACATTTATAGTTTGGAATATAGTGAGGTTTTAGCATTTGTTCTGATGTATTTTCAGGACAGAAACAGTTTGGTCATATCTCAACATGGACAAACTATGTGACTACCTGTGGTTTAAAATAATGTGTCATGAGACAGTTGGCTACTGTGCTTTTATGTCATGAAATGTGTCCAGAGAGCCCCATCACCAGGGAGGGTGTGTTCACGCAATGGCTGCCAGGTAGTCTTTCACCTCCGCTGGGGTGAGTCTTCTGAAGCCGGCCTCGTTGCAGATCCCCACCTCAATGTTCTCCTCTGTCATCTGACCCTCAAAACTCTCCTGAAACACAAAGATAGTAAGGTATAAATGAAGGATACTACTAAGGAAATATGTTCTATATCTTAGGTATTTTCATAACAAATATCATACCTTCAATGTCAAGATGGCTGTGTGGATGGCATCCTCCAACTCCAGATCGTTGTTATACCTGGAGAGGAAAATGAAGTGGTTATTTAACAATCTGTGAAGTGTAAAACAAATTGAGTATGCTTTGTAATGCTTTCCTGTATATTATTTGAAGTTCTTGTTCCAGTTCCTAAACATTTTTTGGTAAGCTATGTGAATAATGCCCTTTTAATAAATAGACATACGTGCCAATATGATATAGTGAGCCATTGCGAAATCAAATTCATTGCATTTGTGTCACCTAAACATGAATCAGTTTCTGGGCCTCATTGGAAATGTAATGGCAACATTTTTATGGATTTCTATAACTCAAGTGAAGCGGATGGCATCCTTGTGGATCTTTCTTGAGCGCAAACTACAAATCACTTGGATGGAAAGCAACGCTTCAGCCCTTATTATAGACTACACTGAGGCACCTATTCAATCTATCAGGCATTTAAAACATTTTATAAATGACATTCAGACTTCGCTCAAAGTTGCAATAATATACCAGACTTTGAATGCATCATATCTCCAAAAATTACCACAACAAATAAGTATTTTTACACCTGTCTTGTGTACTTTGGGCTGCGTCAAGCATGAAAGGTGCTATATAAATAAAGCGTATTATTATCATCATCATCATCATAAAAGTTCAGAGCACTCAGCACTTATTGTGGGAGACACTAATTGTTGAATACAAAAACTAAGAAGCTCACATCTATACATTTGCTGTCTGCGAAATCAATTTATTTTATTAATTCGACAAAAATGGCCTTTTATGATAACGTCTTACCTTTTTTCCAGGAATGTTTTTCCATTAACGTAGTTCTTGCCCATGGCTGTGGCTTTCCATGCAAAATATGCACCCTGCCAGCAAGAAACGGAGGAAAAGAAGTGACAGATTATTATAAAAGAGTTAGAATCACAGCAGACTAAGAACATGGAATAAGAGTTGAGCACACTCCAAACAACATGTGCTACCAACCAATATGAAAGTTAGTAATACAACATACAGAGGGGTCTGACTGGAACAGGTAGGGTTGGCCTTCATCCCATCCGGCAATCAGCAATGAAACACCAAACGGACGCACCCCACTGTAGGAGAAAACAACACAGGTTCAGTTAAAAATAATTCTGACGGATCGAGTCTATAGGCGCTTTCACACCAAGTACTTTGCCGTACTTAGTTCATCAGAACTTAGTTCATCAGAACTCTTTAGTTCTAATGAACTAAAGAGTAGATCGCGTTCACACCGGAATAAGTCCCTGAGGGAGGATTAGGCAAATGAAGCCGCTGACGTCACTTCTACTTCTTCTGCTTTGGGTTTACTGGCAGGCCGCAAACAACTTCACGGCGGATACTGCCACCCGAAGTCCCCGGCCGGAAGTCCCCGGAGTTGGGGACTGGCTTCAGTACAACTAGAGTAGTAAATCGCCAGAAATGCAGACACCTCCTCGGCCGTTTCTCAATGTCGAGTATACCTGCTGCAGAGCCACTATTTCAAGTATACTACGTCATCGAGTGGCGCCGAATGCTGGGCATTTAACATGCACTTAAACAGTCCTTCGGCGCCACTCGATGACGTATTATACTTGAAATAGTGGCTCTGCAGCAGCTCTACTCGACATTGAGAAACGGCCCTCATCTCTACCGCTCCCATGTTTTACTTTTGTGTTGCCATAAGTTAGTCTCTCTCTGTTTGTGCGCTGGGCTAATGCTAATGCTAATAATGCTAATGTGAGGAAAATAAAATGGCGGCTTCACAAAACATTTTGAGAGTTTTACGGGGCATGGTTTGCAATCCACCCAGCCAATCAGAAATGGGAACCTTTTTCTCCCATGAAAGTACCTGCTCTCTAGCAGGGGGTGAAAAGGTTCTCATGAACTAAGTTCCAGTTCCGGATTTTTTTGGTGTAAACGCACATTTTCGGAACTATATATATATCGGAACTATACTGGGAAAAGTACTCCGGTGTGAAAGCGCCTATTATGTAGTGTTTGTATGAGTGCTTCTTCATGTATACCCACCCGGACTGTGTGTACTCCTGCATTACAGAGGCCACTCTCTGGACGAGCTGGCCTGTGGGGATGGGCTCCTGGTAAACCAGGAAGTACTGTTGTGCCAACTTCCGGGCTCGTCGCACCAAAACCCTGCAAGGACACAACTCGTTAATTTATCTGTGAATGCTAGGTTCAGTAGTCAGACAAACACTGGTTGCACCTTCTAGATTTCTCTCACAGTCATCAAAATCCTGAATCATGCATTTTAAAACCTTGGGCACACAAGATATAAGACACTTTTCATTACGCTAACTGTTGACCCAGAAATCCGCCCCCTTTCCAATCATAGAGGATCTCCCCATCCCTTAAATGAAACACCTGAATTATACAAGGAGAGAGGAGGCTTCTTCAGAAAGGAATGGATTTGCTTTAGCCGTTTATAATAACCTAACACAGCCCATTTTCACATTACCTCCCCTATAGTGCTTTTAAAGCCTTTGGACATCAGACAGAACAAAACGTTGTGTCTCAAGATAGCAAAAGAAACCTCTGCCGTTTTTTTCTTTTCTTCAACGCGCAAAAAGAATCCCCACCTGTAGTCAGGACCCATTCCACTGTAGACCATGCCTATGTGTTTAGTGATTGGCTCCACTTTGTGGACACTCTGCTCATCATACAGAATGGACTTTTGTTTCTTCTCTGTTGCCAGGACAACTCCATTGGAAGCTGAAAGTAAAAGACAAATCAAAATTAGCATCTTCAAAAATGTTAACTTTCTAACCAGCTTCAACTATATGTAATGCATACATTTGAAGGACATTAGTGGCCAATTAGGTTTCTGCACCAGTGTCTGTGACATTGACTTGTCTGAATACAAATCAGGTCCTTTGTTTTAATAAGCTTGTAAAACCCTCATTGTGCAGTACTGCCATATTTTGCCCCCGAGTCCCACTTCCCTCTGCACTTGCAGTTGTGTGTTTCTGTGGCAGAAATGGTTCACATCCATGCGTTCCCATGGTAGTGAACCCTTTAGCAATACATGCATTTAAGGATTACACACCTTTCAAGACATAGAGTCTTGTTGCATCCTCTGATATCAATCCGTCATCTAACAAATGTGGATTATTCTATAACATGTTTTTTTCAACTCTAAGCATGCACCGTATTTCATCAATATTTAAATAATATTAAAAGACATGGGACTCACTTTGTCTAAAAAACATAGTTATAGTTTTTCTCCGCACATTTCCATGACTTACCTTTGATGCCCACTGAGGGAGCTCCGGCTGCTACGGCTGCCAGGGCATACTCAATCTGGACCAGTTTACCCGAGGGGCTTCAGAAAGAAACAAAGGATGCTGCATTACTATTATGTTGAAAGACAACATCTACTAAACTTTAACGGCTTCTGTAGTAAAGTTTCAAAACGGGAGCTCATGTATTATGGTCAACAAAGACGAAACCGAAAGCTAAAACAACCGACTCATCTGAGCTATTGTAGCTAGCTAAGCTAGTTTTAAGTTATCATGTGGAACTGAACTGTTTCGGGCTATTCAGTGACACGCTTTCAAATCCCAATGTGTAGCAGGTTTTTTATTTTATCATCAATATGAGAAAAAGTCACTTTTTAACTGTTTCATTTGAAAACACGTTAGCCAACATGCTAACAGTTTGCGTTAGCCGATTCATTGCACTACCCGGCGATGACAGTGCATCAGCTACAACTTTGGCCCAAATCTGCTTTTACTGTCAAAATGCAAAACCCTGCGTATACTTTATCGAACTGCCATTCAACAACAACCTCTACGTGCTGAAAATTAAGATGCTAATTTCAAATTAAAGGTAATTTTTTGAAAAGTTTACCTAAATGTGGTGAGGGAGAAACTGTAGCCTCGTTCCGCCATCTTGTTCTTCTTCTTCTACTCTGTGTTGCCTGGAGACTTGCACATCCACTGAAGAGTGCACACTGCCACCTATAATAATCACTGCACATGAACAACCTAACATTGTTTGGATAAATAAGAAATGCAATTGTTTTAATAAAACAAAATAATATATTCTTCGGAGGAGATGGGTCATTGCCTCACAAATACTTTATTACAGATAAGATGTAGAGAGGTTGATCTAAAACAAGTTTTACACTGCAAAGTAATTCAATAACTTTAAACCTTTCATGTATTGTCAGTAATCCAAATCATAGAATCTTATAGAAAAAATAAAAGCATTATTTATGAACATTTTATATTCAGATTCTTTACTTATGACATCATTATTATAGAAAATGGATGTGCATATTTCAGATATCTTACTATTTATAATGATAGCCTAATTCTATATATATACTTAACACATGTGCCTGCTACTAAATAATCACAGCATTTGTATTTTAATTTATACACAAATCTTAAATAATAAAAAAAAAACTAAAGTCTAGAAAAAAGTTTGGTGTTTTGTTGAACCATACATAGACTGATTTAAAGTTTAAACAAAGTTGAGTGCAATTTAGAAAATGGTCGCTAGGTGGTAGTAAGACGCCCAGATGACTTTCACCTGCCTGAAATTAAACAGAGGAAGAAGCGTGGTCTGTCGCAGTTCGATGACGATGTATTGAGTCTGTGACCGTGAGCTGTTTGACTGTACGGAAAGCAAGCGTGCTGACCAAAACAATGATGAATTTAGCCACTTTAGTGAACAGCCTCAGATGCTCTCTGCTGAGCATTGAGAGAAGACTTCTGCAGGCGGCCGGACTAGAGAGACAGCTGGGTGAGTTTACTGACTGGAGCCCAGCAGGCAGAAGATTATCCTGCTGCTGCCCATCGACACAAGCCCTGTCTCTTAAACAGACTCCTCATGCTAAATTGAATGTTAAGGTGCAGTGAAAGCTAACTTCTAACAATGTATTTCCTGTGCAGCCCCAGCGCTGACAGTGGCTGGCCCCAGTCTCCTGCCTCAGGTCGACAGGGAGGATGGGCTGGAGGAGCAGCAGAACCCGGATCAGCCTCCTGGCCTCACAGACGGTATCCTGTGGATGGCAGCGCCCAAGAAGAGACGCACTATAGAGATCAACCGCACCAGGAGGAGATCTGAAATAAATATGTTAAAAGTCAAGGTACTCTATGGATCCTCTCAACTTGTCCGTGTACTCTAACCCAACTGTTCTCCATTGCTGTCTAACTTATAAAGCTTTCTAGTGCTGATTGTTAGTGATTGAATATATCAGCTGCAACTCATCCCTGTACATTTAAAGCTCAATAGCAGCAGTTTTCAGCAAGTTAAGCTCTAAAAATGACATTTAGGCAACTCACAGAAACATCTCAGTTAAAAGGTAATTAAATGTTTCCTAGGATGAAAGTTGGAAGAAAGCAAAGTTTTTTAACACAGCTAATCAGACTTCTTATAGCATGCATATTATGATATGTGTGGATTATTCACTGTCAACAAAGTGAACCAACATTCCTAATGGAACCTAACAACTGTTAAAGTTGAGAACCCCCTTGTTTTTAATGTGACTGATACAGGAAAACATTCCTGCCCACTGCAATAACTCTCTATAACAAATCACCTCTGGGTGGCAGAGAAGTTTCTGCTCCATAGTTTCTCTTGGAATAAAATCACACCGTACATTTTACATTTATATATTCAGTTTAATATTTAATATTTTATCTGTCACATACTTATGTACATATAATACCTTGCTTTATATCTTGTTATTGTTAATTTGTAAATTCAACATGTATATTTTCTACTTTCTTGTTTATTTCTTGTCTTTTAATTTGTATTGTACAATGCCATGTCTTTTTATGCTGCTGCAACACAAAAATTTCCCAAATTGGGATCAATAAAGTACTATCTTATCTTATTTATATATTTCAATTTATATTCAGTACGTAAGTAACATTTCACATTCTGTAAAATCGTTTTGGAGCACTTTGTGGTCAACAGTGTCAAAAGCCTTCCTGAGATCAAGGAAGACAGCACCTACATATGGGCTTGTGTCCAACATAGATGTAACCTTTTCCACAAAGACACAGTTAGCTGTCTCAGTGGAGTGGTGAGCACGGAAACCAAACTGCATTGGGTGGAGTGGAGCGAAACCTTTATCTAAATGTTTGGTGATTAGTTTTGACACCCATTTCTCAGCTACCTTAGAGACACAGGGGAGGATGCTGATTGGTCTGTAATTGGACATCATTGCCTTATCCCCAGATTTAAAAATCGGTGTCACCGTGGCCACCTTCCAGGACGATGGAACTTCCCTCGTGCTGATAGATTGATTCACTAGCATAGTAATTGGTTTTATTAGACCGTCGATATTTGTCTTTATAAAGTTGGTGTCGAAATCATATGCATCCCTAGCCTTAGAACCTCTTAACCCTGAGATTATATTTTTTACCTCAACCTCTGTGATTTCCTACAGGTCAAAAACAGGGTGTGTATCCACAGTCGGGCTAGGTGAGACCTCAGATGGCGGGAAGAGCTTTGTAATGTCCAAAGCACTAGTTAAGAAATACTCATTGAGAGAGCTGGCCAACACTGCAGGGTCTTTTATCAGGGCATCATTGATTTTTAATTCTAGTACATTATTTTCCTGTTTGGTATGTTTACCTAATAGTTTATTTAAGGTTTGCCAAACCTTTTTACCGTTACCTTTCGCACCTTCAATTATATTGATGAAAAAGTTCGCTTTGGCCTGTCTTATTGTTTGTGTTACTTATTAGTTATTAATATTGGTTGATAGTAGCTGCTTGTTAGCTGAGCTCATATGCTATCATTATTAGTTTATATGTTGGGTTATAAGTAGCAACAAACTGCGGTAAAGAAAATAGATATTTCCTAAGTTATTTAGAAACATTGTTGGACCCACTGTTTCTCTCTTTCTCTCTCAGACCAACATCGAGCCATGTCCTGAGTGTGGCCACTTGAAGCAGAAACACATCCTGTGCAGCTTCTGTTACGCCAAGGTGTGCAGAGAGACGGCAAAGATTCGGCAGCAGATGAAGGCGATGGAAGCGGGGGCCCATGGGGTGCCGGCAGTGGAGACTGTCATCCTGTATGAGGGAGAAACACCAAGTGAGCTGAACAAAGACAAAAGGATTGTGGAGAGGCCCAGGAAGAGGCCTGCCTGGTTCAACCTCTGAGATATTCATGCTGTTTGTGATACCAAAGCTGATTCTTGATGTAGTTATCTCTGTAAAGATACCGTACCTGATCATTGATTTGTGGGTTTAAGGCTCACACAGCTACATATTTGAATTTTTGGTTTAATTTCATTTGTCACTTTTTCAACTGTTTGTCATATTCTCAAATTGGATACATTTACTGTATGTTTGAATATTTGACAATACATTCTTTATTTGAAAAAGGAAATGATGTGCTTCTCTGTTGCCTTAAATTCAAAAACTCAAATGAGACCATTCAATGTAAAGACTTACCATTGTGTTAGTCAACAAATCTTACTTTATCCACTTTATGACACAGAAAAAACAATTAGGTTTGATAATTGTGCTCCAAAGTCATTGGCACAATAAAGGGGGGTCAAGAGTATTAGTGTCTACCATAAGCTTTCATTAAGACTACAGCTTTTTAGCATAGCCACAAGCTTTTTATCAGTAACACAAATATGGTTATGAACCACTTGGAATCGGATGTCTTAAGATTTCAAACATTATGAAGTGATACATCATTCTTGGCTTCCTTGTGATGGAAACTAATCGCCACTTCTTCTGATCTTGAAGGGATGCCTGTTTTTGTTTGTGAATGTGTGTTTGTGTTGCCACAGCAACATCTATTAGTCAGGATTCAGCATCAAACTGGAGTCATGTAATACTGGCTCTTGTGTTGCAGGGGGGGGGAACAGACTGTTTTTGCTGGGATGAGTCCAGCATACCTTTCACTGCCTCAGTCACACCGTCAACCCCCTCTGATACAGTTTCACCCTCCAACTGATAGAAGTGGGGCTGCCAGCGTTCTCCTGAGAGGAACTAAAGTTATAGTATGTCAGTGGTGTCAAATTGAACAGGATATTAGATATTAACATACAATGTATGTAAATAAAAGTTCAGATAGTGTGTAACCAAATTACTTAAATGTCAGAATTCCAGCAAGGTGTTTTTACCTGCCTCCCAAACATTCTGCACATCCTTCCATTACATCTGAAATATGAAGATAATGAAGCACTTCTGAACACAAAGAGCATGGAATAATGAGATCCCTTTACAAATCAAATGAGTCTCCCAACGAAACTTTTCTAAAACTCAGTCATAAAGTAGAATCATTTTGCCCAAGGAACTGACGTCTCTTTGGATTAATGAGCTGGATTAAGACTGTCAGCCAGTGATCTGATTTCCCTCAGCTGTTTCCTTCCTGAGACATTCGGTCTATGTGAGAGACATCCGAGGAGTTGGAGAATATTTTCGTTGACATGCTGGGATAAACCCTGGATTCATGTCATTTAAGCAGACTGGTTGTTTTGTATATCTGTCAACACATGCACACTTTCATAGTCTGGAAGTAAACATAGAAGACTTTCTTTATATCAGCAGTGATACGCCGTAGTCGTTGTAACTAAGTACATTTACTTAAATGCTGTAGAAGTGAAATGTTGCCATAGATGATTTCAATGTTTTGCTACTTTGTACTTGCACCCCATTTTTTTCTACTACATTTATATTTCAGCTTTTATCATCATGAAGATTTAAATTATTAGCTCAATTTTAAATTGACAAATAATTTGCGAGGCATTATTATAGGTTAAGCAATCAAGTAGTATATAAAGTAATTCAAAATAAATTCAGCTGCACTTTTGAAGTGATTAACACATGAATGCATCACTTATCATAATCAAGTAATGTAATATTATTCTGAAATTTTGTATAACTTACTTTTAGTATTTTGAGTTCATATTGATGCTAAAACCTGATGTAAAAAGCAGCACTTAACCTGTGACAGGGTATGTTTACACTGTAGTTTTGCTACTTCTACTTAATTATCTAAGTATATCTTTCACCACTGGGTTAATGATATAACATAAATAATTTCCATAAATGAAATCATTGGCGTTTCATCAGGTTGAGACATGTTACAGAAAGAGCTAGTGCTAATTTTCAAATGAAAACCAACCTTCAGGATGCCTGGAGTAAGGACATTCACTACATTCACTACAAAGTGATGCAGAGGAGTAAAAATAGAAACAAGGCTAAATATTTAAGACATTGCCAAACACACTCACACCTCAGACTGCTTGGTACAGACGTTGACGACGACACATGATTTGATCGCTTTTTGTGTTTGTCTCCTTTGAGTTGTATGCGTGTCAAGTCAGACAGGAGTGAAAAAGGACACGAAAAAGGCTTTTTACACAGAAGTTAAATTCACACTTTCAAAACAATCCCACAATGCACTGTGTGAGCAGAGGTGGCTGCTACCTGGTGAACTCCTACTGTGATCTTCAGGAGGAGAACCAGTGGAAGAAGGAGAGCTACGAAGCCTGCTGGGTGAGCCTCGTCCTGGAAACCAGACCACAATACAAGTAGGTCATTTCCTAATAAAATTCAGCTTTTTTCTAATTTTGGTTTTGTATGGATCACTGCCATACAGGTTGAGTTTTTTCTGCTGTATTTTCTCTGTTATGTTTATGTGAACTCTGTTGAATATTTGTAGATCTATACAGTCCTCAGTATTTGATAATCATCAGAATAAAGGGTAAATGTACAGCAGCCCATGTGTTTGTTTCACTGTAAACGCACAATATGGGCGAGCTTTTGACCTTCAGTCCACACTGATTCACTAACATAAGGCTGCTGCACCGCCTTGTTTGGTTTGAAACCTTTTTTCTGGTGGCTAATTGAACCCATATCCTTTGTGCTTCCTCTCATGTTCAACCTTTTTCAAAACTTAGGCAGAAAATACTTTGTTGAAAATCATTAAAGACGGGCCAGACATTAAGCTGTCAGGATTGGAAGAGAGCAAGGCAGGTTTTTTAAAGTTGTTTTATATTTGTTTCCAATCATCATCAAATGATTACGAATTAAGTAAGTACATTTATTGTATTATGACCAAATCATGCCTTTTTGTACCTTTGTGTAAAAGATTGAGACTAGTATGCTGTCATCCTATACAATGGACACGTTTGAAAAACATAAATAAATGACATCATTGATTATTTTGTAGTATGTTCCCTATATCCTAATTTCTGAAAGTTCGATATTGTAGAAAGGACGAACACTTAAAGAGACAGGCACTAAAACTGAGCATTTAAAGCAGATAATTCATACAGGTACGGTATATCCAGACATACTGAAACTTGGATCACGGAGGACAAAGGCATAGACTTTGAGCTGGAGGGCTATGAACTCAGATACATAAATAGACAAAACAAGGGTGGAGGAGGAGTAGCCTTGTATGTGGACAATACTTTAAAATATAAAGTGATGAATTATATGTCAACAGTGATTGATAATGTATTGGAATGTATCACGATTGAAATCTGCAAAGAAAAAACAAAAAATGTAATCATCAGTTGTATATATAGAGCACCCGGCTCTAGTATTGAGATTTTCAAGGACTGGATGGAGGAAATATTCTCAAAAGTGATTCATAAAACAGTTTTCATTTGTGGTGACTTCAATATTGACCTTCTAAATCCAAATAATCACAGCATGACAGAAGAATTTATCAACACAATGTACAGTATGGGTTTATATCCAAAAATTACTAGACCCAGCAGAATCACATCGCACTGTGCTACTCTCATAGACAATATATTCACAAATGACATAGAAAACAATACAGTAAGTGGACTCTTAATAAATGATATAAGTGACCACCTACCAGTATTTGCAGTTTATGACAGAAACTATAGTAATAACATGCCGGACAAAGCTATTCAATACAGACGAGTTAGATCAGAGGAAGCAATGAACGCTTTAAAAAATGCCTTACTGGCACAAAGATGGGATGATTTATACAAAGAAAACAATATTGACAGTGCATATGATCAATTCCTGAGAATTTTTGTATCACTATATAATACATACTGCCCAATTGTCAAATACAGTAGAAAAATTAAATATGCAGAATGTCCATGGATCACAAGGGGTTTACAAAATGCCTGTAAGAAGAAAAATTCATTGTATAGAGATTTCATGCGAAATAAAACAAAAGAGACAGAGATTAGATATAAAAAATATAAAAATAAATTAACAATTATAATAAGGACCTGCAAAAGTGAATACTATCGGAAAATACTGGACAAAAATAAAAACAACATTAAAGAAATATGGAGCATACTGAATAGTATTATAAAAAATGGGTCTAGAAAAAGGAGTTATCCTACTTACTTCATTGACAAGGATAAGGAAGAGGAAAATATGGATGTTGTATCCAACAGTTTCAATGATTTCTTTGTAAATGTTGGACCTGAATTAGCAGACAAAATCCCTGATGGAGGAACATCAGAAAATAAGCTGGAAAACTTAATAAAACTGAATCCTTTCTCAATGTTCCTCACAGCAGTGCATGAAAGGGAGGTAGTTGATATTGTAACGAAATGTAAAAACAAAAAATCTACCGATTGTGATGACATTGACATGACTGTATTAAAAAAGGTTATAGATGTTATTTCAAAACCATTAACACACATATGTAACTTATCATTCCAAACTGGTGCATTTCCTAACAAAATGAAAATAGCAAAAGTCATACCTTTGTTCAAAGCTGGGAACAAACATCACTTCACAAACTGCAGACCTGTCTCACTTCTACCACAATTCTCAAAAATTCTTGAAAAGCTTTTCAATAACAGACTGGACAATTTCATAGAAAAACACAAACTTCTCACCGAAAGTCAATATGGATTCAGAGCCAATAGATCAACATCGATGGCTTTAGTAGACTCACTTGAAGAAATTACTAGCTCAATTGACCAAAAGAAACATGCCATTGGAATATTCATTGACCTAAAAAAGGCATTTGACACAATTAATCATGACATATTAATAAAAAGACTTGAACGTTATGGAACCAGGGGTGTAGTTTTGGAATGGGTAAGGAGTTATTTAACCAACAGGCAACAGTTTGTGAAGCTGGGAGAGTGTTGTTCTTCATATTTGGACATTACATGCGGTGTCCCCCAGGGGTCAGTATTGGGGCCGAAACTATTTATTATGTATATTAATGAAATATGCAATGTATCGACAGTACTCAAGTTTGTTTTGTTTGCTGATGACACTAATATATTTTGTTCTGGGGACAATGTACAGCTACTATTGGAAGAGATCACAGCTGAAATATGCAAACTAAAGTTATGGCTAAACAGTAATAAGTTATCATTAAACTTGAATAAAACAACATTAATCATATTTGGAAATAGCAATACACAAGCATCCATTAAGATAGATGGGATTTTCATTGAGAGAGTTAAAGAACATAAATTCCTTGGAATCACAATTGATGAGAAACTGAGCTGGAAACCACACATAAAACATATTCATTCCAAAGTCTCAAGAAGTATTGCAATATTAAACAAGGCAAAACAGATTCTTGATCAAAATTCCCTCTACATTCTTTACTGTTCATTGGTTTTACCTTATTTAAGTTACTGTGCAGAGGTTTGGGGCAGTAATTATAAAACTACAACACAATCCCTATTTATTCTACAAAAAAGAGCAATAAGAATTATTAAAAATGTCGGCTATAGGGATCATACAAACCCATTATTTTTAGAGCTAAAATTATTAAAACTGTCAGATCTTGTTGAATTCCAAATCGCACAAATCATGTTTAAGGCAAAAAATGTTCAATTACCTGGGAATATTCAGATATTGTTCAATGAAAGACAAGGGAATCATTATTTACGGGGTTCATTTATATTCACTAATGTTAGGGTGCGCACAACAAAGAGAAGTTTTTGTGTTTCTGTTTGTGGGGTGAAGATCTGGAACAATTTGAGTGAAGAGCTAAAGGGATGTCCAAACATAAAACTATTCAAAAAGAGGTATAAAGACACAATTCTCACAAGGTACAGGGATGAAACTGCTAAACCATAACTGTTTGTATTCTTGTTTTGTATTTTATTTATGAATTTGTGTTTGTATGAATTTGTGTATGTATATATATAAATATATAGATACCATTGTCCTAACTTGCCTGTATATATTATATGAATGATTATATAAATTATTCAAGATTATAAGTATACGTTTATATTGTATGTTAACATATATTAAGATGTAAAAAAATAAAAATAAAAATAAAAATAAAAAAGGGAGAAGGGGTCGGATTAAATAAGTGTAAACTTCTTCCGACCCCTTTTCGGACGTGTAATTAGCTAAAGCTTTGTTGTTTATTGTTTATTGATATCAGACAATGATACTGCAGATTATTCAATTATTATTTAAATGTTTCGTTTTGTTATTGCATTCATTTGTATAGTACTGTATCATGTCTGTATCACCTTTTGTTTCATTTGCATTTTCTTTGGTTTTACACGCTCGAAAAAAATAACTAAACTAAACTAATACAGTGTGATGTGTTTTTTGACACAAAATAATGTCAAGATGTTCTAGTAAAAAAAAAGTATGAATCTGACAAAAAAAACAATAGGTACCCTTTAAATTATTTAAAAAACATAACCTATATTTCTTGTAGTGTTGTCAAAACTGTGACCAGCTTTAAAGTTTCAACTAACCAAGAGAAGTGAAGAAGCAGTCTTCACCCTTGTCTACAAGTTATTTGAAAACGCTTGAAAGAGATATAATGATCACGTCGCTCTACTTTTGTGTATTACAGAGAGTTAATAAAAAGCATTTTTCTGGTGTTCTTAATGTGTTCCAGGCTGACTCTCTCAGAGACAGACAGCGTCCGTAGAGAGAGTTACAAGCAGCAGCAGGTGATCCACTTCCTGGTGGAGAGGAGCCCCTGGCAGACCCTGAGGCTGGGCAGCAGCAGAGACATGGCAGAGCACCAGCTCCCCTTATCCAACACCAGCAGCTCACTTCATACCACAACTAAACAAAAGCCGGTCATACAAGAGAAGGGAAATAATGAAGAGGACAAACAGGAAGTGACTGCCATTACCCAGGACGTCAGCAAGCCACTCAGAGAGAACTTCAGAGCCTCCAGCCTGATGTCCTCGCCGAGGGAAACCTCCAGCCGGGTGCAGAGGAGGGAGTGAAGAGAGGAGTCATTTAAAATTCAGAAAATATAACGTAGCCTTTGTTATTGTAGTTTACATACAGTACTGGTGTTGGTTAAACAAAATGTGCTTCTAAATGTAATCAGCTTAACTGTGACTTTCAGTGGAAAATGAAAGTGTTGATTAAAGGTGGGGTAGGTAAGTTTGAGAAACCGGCTCGAGATACACTTTTTGTTATATTCCATGGAATGCTCTTAACATCCCGATAGCAATGAATATCTTCAGTGCTTTGACAAAAACTCCATAAAAAAATGTCATCTGTGGAAGCCGTAATACTGTAAAAAGTACGACCAATCATTTTAGCCGGCCCGGCTAAAATAACTGGATGGCCTACCTGCCTGTCAGCCTTCCATGTGTGCACAAACTTATCTCGTGCCCTCATTGGTCATGTGCGCGTTCGTGTGTGTTGGAGGAGGGGCTCTGTAAGGAAGTGGCAGATCTTTTCCGGTTGTGTATTTTCAAATTCTAGCGCACTCGAGCTGGTTTCTCCAAAATGACCTACCCCACCTTTAAAGGGCCCATGTCATGGCCATTTCCACTGATCATAATTACATTGTTGAGGTATACTAAAATAGATTTATACTGTGCAATTTTCCAAACTCACATTGGTTTCGCATACAGCATCTCTGTCAAGCATGTGTATTCAGCAGTATTCACTTTCTCCACTAAACGACTCGTTGGAGCTCTTGCCCCCCCCTCCCTGTGAGCCTAGTGTGCTCCGATTGGTCAGCTCGGCCACTCTGTTCTGATTAGTCAACCACCAGAGAGGCTGCGCCCATGTCTAAACGGCTGCTCTCAGCCGAACATCAGTCTTATCATGGCGTCGGTACAGCCGTATATTTTATATACATATATATATTTTTAACTGTTGTTATAGAAGAGTGTGACGGCCCCAGGGCCTTTGTCTTACGATGGGGTGGAGATGAAGAGGCTAATCAGCGCGATCACGGACACCTGGCCGGAGCCGAGGTGCTAGCCAGCTGCCGGGAGTCACACGGCAGCCTCTCTCTCCCTCCAAGCAGCACAGCAATCCTCTTCCCTGACCACGTATCTCTGCATTTACCACAATAAATGTGCCGTGGTTTTGTAAACTCGTGTATGTCTCCTTGTCTTTCCGTTGTGGCCTACGAGCCGGTCATAACAAAGAGTAAGTTATTTTTACCCGTTATAAACTACTACTGTTTGATGAGAAATCAAATCATGGTTTGCTATATATAGTATTTCCATTAAACTTTATTTTTAGAAATGTACAAAATGAACGTAAATATACATATATACACGGTATATCGTCAATCACTCCCCGTTGTCGGCATCTTGCCTATAGCAGCCGGGGCTTTTTAGGACGAGGCCTCAGTGTGGTAGTCCGGTCCCCGTCATGTATTGTCCGGCAGGATCTGGCTGGACGAAATCAAATGCAAATCACAAAATATTAGAGAAACTTAGTTGTTTTAGATTCGTTAGTAGTAGTTGTGGTAGGAGTGTGGATCTATCTAATCAATCTAATGAACAGCTTGCCAGCTAATATGCTAACCTAGCTTTGTTTACCTTGGTAGCTAACGTTAGCTCGGAGGAACGGCAACTATAATGTAGAGTAATAAAACTACTATGAACAAAAGCTAGTGGTTCATATTAGGCTAGCAATAACGTGTTTATAATTGCAATGTTATACGGGTAGTCTGCTACGTTCGGTGATACATTGTAATGGTCATGAATACATTGTTTTGCGCTAGCATACAGCTAGCCTCGAGCTATACACGCAGTATATGTACTGTCACAATGTACGGTAAATCACCCGGAGTATACTGTATGAGTATTCCGTGTGTGTGACTGCAGACATTCTCCTGCCATGACAAACATGTAAGGCCATCTGCTGACATTGTAGTTGATATATTTAAACGCTAGCAACGTAGCATCACAAAAATGTTTTTCCGACCAAACCTAGCTCTAGCTCTAGCTCCGTGTGTTAGATCGGTTGCATACACGCTACGCCAGCTATAATGTAATTACGTTTCGCGACTGACCGCACGGCAAATCACCCGGAGTATACTGTCAATAGGTATTTTGTGTGTGAATGCAGACATTCTCCTGCTATGAGATACATGTATGCAAGGCCATCTGCTGATATTAGAGTTGATATATGGAAACTCTAGCAACTTAGTTAGCACAGTTAGCACTGTGTCAATGGCTTAGCAGTCCAACACAGTTTACACATTTAAACAGTCTTGTTTGATAAATACACAAATAACAATGCAAACTTACAGGTTGTGTACCCGGATCTTCCCCTGCTCCAAACGGTCCAAACAAGCTGTGCATATCCGGCCTCAAACTGGGCAATGTTTTGGAAGCTTTTGTCTGTGAAATGCCGGTTCTTCGAACCTCTGGAGGAACACGCCGCTGCTGGTGTGGCCATAGCTCTTCGGGATTGGTCCATTTCGTTCCGGGTACCGCATGACATCAGGCGGTACCCGGAACTAAATGGAAGACTCAAATGGGCAGTGACGTATTGTTGGAGTAGAACACTTCTGCTACGCGCCGTTCGTTGGATGAGGCTGGATCTCTATTAAATTAAGAAAGGAATTGAAAACACCGGAATCAAAGTTATAACAAATTATCTGAGTTTACTTCTAGTAGGAAACCAAACACATATACAAGTTATACAGAGTACTCGAGCACTCCGGGCTTTCAGGTTTGTGATGCGATGCGGATAAATGCGTCAGGATCAAACCACTCATCAAACCAAAAAGAAATTGGACTTCAGGTTTGTGATGCGATGCGGACACAGTTATCAGGACCTGCCACTCACCAAACCAAAAAAGCATTTTTACACTCAAAAACCTCAGTATTCATATCTGTCTTTGGGGCGGAGATTTGTCGACTCCTCCCTCCCATTTTCCTCCCAAGCGAATTAGAGAACCCCTGGGGAGGAGCTGTTTAAACTGACCACCTCCCCCAAGTGCCCTGATTGGCTGGATTCGCTTCTGGCCGAGGTCAATCAGAGGTCTGACCAGCACGCGAGATCCCAAGCCACACCAGGTCAAAAGTCAATGTTTATCTCTACCTTATCTTACTCTACATTCCTTTCCCAGGGGATCTTTTCACCTAAACTATCCTCCTTCAGACATTTAAACTCTTCTCCACCTATTTAACGATGTCTTTTAACGACTTAATGACGACATCTGCTTTTAGGGGTGAAACCCAGGCAAGGTGTGTGTATACACAGAATCTCTGGATCAGTGAGTTTGGAAAGTAAGAATAACATTCCTATTCTATATATAATTACCCAAACCGTTGTGATTACATAAAACAGTTCAAACAATACATGTTCACTAAAATACAATTCAAAATAATACATGTTTACTTCAATACAGTGTAGAATCATATCTTTTTACTTCAGTATCTCCAACGAGGCGTTTTGGGGAGGTATTTTCTGTGTTAGAGTTTTACTCGCTACAGGGTGTACTTTCAGGGTTTTGACTCTGCACACCGTTTACATGCATAAAAACCTTCATAACACACAAGGGGACGGGTAATAACCCGAAAAGCATGACATGGGAGCTTTAAGTATAATTCAAACTCCAAAAAATAACACCTCTCGTAATGTTCTTGTGAGTAGTGTTGACTGATTTAAAGAGAGAGTTACTGGATTCTATTCTCCTAATTCGGTTGGCAAATTATTATATTTAAAACATACATTTTGGATTGATGAATCCAGGAATTATGTGCTTTATTTTGCCTAAAATGAATGTGTGTATGCATGTCTTGTAGATATGAACGAATTCTGAAACAGGTTTTCAACAATGATTGTAAATGTTTGTCATCGTCATTGATTCCCAACAAACAAAGTAGCAAAGCTTCTTGAAACAGTGTCTGGAATCTATATTTACTTATTGTTTTACCTGGCCTTGAAGTTAATAAACGGTCCTGTCAGAAGATACAACCAAAACACTTAACCAATAGGTTCAATGTATTCCTGCTGGAAACTGGTTTAATGTATGCATCATGAGCTTTTATGTTAAATGATCATTCTTCAGGGAGCAAATCCAGTGGAAGCTCCCCCCCCCCTGTGGTAAGTCAATAACATCATAAAGGAAGCCTCAGCGAACTGATATATACTATGGTAAATGCAGCAGCACTTTTGAGAGTGTTAGAATATAACAACAGTCCGGAAATGAAGTCCTTAAACCTGGAATTTATTGATTTATTATGATTTCACATAGTTCTAAGAGTCAGTACATTTGCATTTATGGATGCATATCCAGCACTTAATCACCAAGTTATGGTGCAAACAAAAAAATAACATCATTGAGATGTTTGACAACCTTATAGAAAAGCTACTGCTTTAGTTAATCCATTCATCACAGGGGTGCAGCGTGAGGTAAAAGGGTGCTGTTTGACTATTTCTGTTGCAGTTTGGTGGTAAGGTGTTGCAGTACTGAGCAAAACTTTGAGCTCTATCCCCTTATTTAGATTCACATGCACGTTCAGTGTCCAGTCTCCCTGATAGTTAACCTAAAAGCTCCCACAAACCAGACAAAGTAAACAGATATACTATGCTTTTGGTTTTTGGCCATGAATCATAAATGTCAGCAAACATATCGAGTGTAAAGAGAGATGTTCTTCATGGATAAAAAAACAAATAAAGTCCCACAAATATCATGATAAATATCCCCGAATCAAGTGTATCAACATGCCAACAACACGTTCTACGACTTTGCAGCAAAATAATGTTAGAAAAATATTTTCCATGTGTTAATGGTTCCCGTTTTCTGTGTTTTGTCGAACACATTTGCTATTTATTGTCTTTTTCTTCCTGAAGACACTTGCAGCCAGCAACACATAGATGTGCAATATATCACATCGTAGAGTAATACAAGGGAATCCTAAATTCATACCTGAGGTGGACAAACTGAAATTTTCCAGATCTACAATGTATCCCTGTGAGCAGTAATTCATGGCACTCATGGAGTTAAATGGATACAATTGTTGTGATTAATTTTTGCTAAGTGGAAAAAAAATACCTCTCTATGTACATATCATTAATTGTGCATCCAATATGGATATCATCTTATAGTGGATTGTTATCATTATAGGTCTGCACACAGTTAATTTAAAGCCAATGGGTCTTAATTGGGGCTTCTGAAATGATCATGTTTTAATTCCAGGTGGTGGAAATAATCCTTCTGTTTCATAGCTGGGATCAAGGAAGGACTCTAACAAGTAAAGAAGATAACAAAAAAAAAACATGCATTTTCAGTCCTGATCCACCACTCATCTGAACATTCTTAAAAGTCTAATGAAAAACCCCAGCTCGTGTTCGTCACTTTGTGTGGGACTGGATTTTCCCTCCTAAGATGGCTCCTTCAGCCCTCTTGTGTTTCTGCACAGTGACCTGCAGCTGCCAGTACTTGAGGTAAACCCACATGAGGCTGCCATTCTTCCTCTTGTCCATGTTTAGCAAGTCAGCACAGTGCGTATCTCTCTTAAAAACATCCTTAAGATCAGACTCTAGGTCCAGTTCTGCCAGGACAGGGTCTTTGACGACCTTGATCAGCATGTTCTTCTCCATCTCCAGCCGCTGGTCCCGAGGTTGGATGAGGGAACAGTAAACATTCTGGCGCTCCAGAAGCTGATACTCCAGCTCCTTCAGAGTGGCGTTGGCTCGCTGCGACCGATTGTCTTCTCGCTCCAGGGCGTGATGCAGTACCGCCCCTGCAGCGCCGGACTTCACCAACCTCTGCTTTTCTTCCTCCAAGGCTTCACGCTCCTTGTAGGAAAGAAGACATTTTCTTTTTAATGCAGGTCCAAAAGGAAATAGCACAGTAGTGGAAATATACTGCAAGACAAGATGTTACCTCATGTAGCTGTTTCCGTTCTTCCATCAGCTGATGGCTCTGTGAGACCATGGCCTGTTTGTAGCCTTTCACCCTCTGCCTCTCCTTCTCCAGCTCCAGCTCGAGTGTAGCTGCTGCCCTTCGCCTATCTGTTAGTGTCTCACGGTACTTTATCTCCATTTCGCTTTTTATTGTTGAAACGTCTATTTTATACTGAGCTTTGACCTCCTGGATCTCCCTCTGAGACTCCCTCGTCCAGATCCAACCTAAACGGCACAGTGGAAGTTGAGAAATGATTTAAATAAATAAGATAAATTACAACTATCTTAAACTCAAGCACCTTTTTCTCAACCAATGGAATTATCTGAAGCTTGTGCTTGTTTGCTAGGTTCGAGAAAGTATGTACAGTTAATATATCTTAAAATAAGAATGAATACAACAATGTAGACCCAAACAAAAAACCATAATGGCTTTAATAGATGAGATATTAAATTGTCTCTGGTAAACTAGATGTCTTTGTGTCAATTTAAAGTCATAATATGCAGGAATACTCCATTTCTGTTTGTCATATTGTCAAGTCAGATTGGTAATTATTAGTCATGGCAAAGAAGGAGAATATATTTTAATTGCTACCTAATGGCATTTGATAGTTTGGGTTTTCAAAAGCTCAACCAGCTTTGTATGAGCACATTCAATATCTCTACATTACATCATGTAATGTTGTTTTGCTATTCCTGTAACCTAAACACAGACACACTCTGATGTAACTTACGAAATGCAGCCAGTCCCAGCATTGGGACCAGCAGGGCGTAGTTCCATTGATGGCCATCACCGGCCCCCGCTCCCCTTCCTCGGGGGTCTGGCTCAATGTTCCACCTGGGGGGGTCATTCAGGTTGTTCATGGAAGCTGCTGTCACAGACACATACACACATGAAGGAAGACCAACACAGCATAGACTCCTCTGAATATGCATTACAATGAATGTTTACATTTTGCAACACAAACTGGTGCCCCTGAAGTAGCAGTGTCCTTTTTAATCAAACAGCCACACTGCAGTAATCACCTACTAGCTTCAATTAGCTTGTTAGCATTCACCGAATCAGACATGACTAAGCTTGAAGGTTCATGCTAGCTAGATTATTTAATACAAACACATTACAGGACATAATAGTCTTGTAAATCCGACTACAAGTCGGCACAAGTCTGTTAAATATTGGAGCTGTGTCTCACCTTGAATGATAAGTCTAGGTCACTTATACATTTGTTCCTGCACACCCTGCTTACACAAGTTTACTCGTTTGCAGTCCATCTATACCGACCGGGGGAATTTCGTAGGAAGTTACTTGATTAAAGATCACTTTAGGTCTTAAGGGTAAACTCTGTTTGAATTAATCGAGATGGATTGCAATTCTCTAAGTGGTGTTTTAAAGTTAAATCACGGTTAAAGTAGGGTTTAAATGATAACTGTCGGAAGTAAAATGAACGACTCCCCCGTTTTCGCACAATGGTTTGGTCCATTGCTATGGAATATCTCATCCTCCACGGTGGCTCAGAATCGTTCCTTCAACTGACAACATGGCGAGTGTCCGTGCTGCCTCCCGTCTACTCTCCAAGAGGATATTATCTAAAACAAAAGCAGTGAGTTTTTGCAATTGTCTACTTAATCCTTCACATAACTCTATGTGATCTATCTATGTGTTCTGTTTGTTTTCTACGCTAAAAGCAAACATTTTGCTGCACTTTCTGCTTTCGTAACCATCAGATTCCGATTTGCGTAACCTGTGTTATGTAGCTCAGGCTGTTTCAATGTGACACCAGGAAAATGGCTATTATGCTAGTCTAACAAAAGGTTATGTGTCTATACCAAATCTATGTTTCGTTATATACATAGAGATTTATTTTGAGTCAAGTGTCAACATTACAGAGGGATTTGAACCAGTTTGTTAGTTAACGTTACCTCTGTTGCCCTTGTGAAAAACTGTTTAAGCTAACAGTAGCTAGCAAAATGTTATGCATACAATGCAAATACATTTAAAAGCGAGTGCAGACTTAATGATTCTTACAACGATAGCATGGTTAATCTCAAATGAAAATCAAGTACAAAGTGCACTATAAAATCTAAGCTATTAATGATTACAAATATTAATGCTATATTATCGATTGTTATGGAAGTGTTATTAGCAAAACAAAGTTGCCTTTAAACATAGCAGTGCTTATTAGAAGAGTATGTTTTATGTAGTCAAGCATATTTCAGTTTATGGTTAATGTTGCAATGGAGCTGCTATTATGAGTTCTCCTCTGATATCAATTGTTGTCTTTTCTGCCAGGTCCCTGCTGCTGCAGTTCAGGGATCCAGAGACTTTCACTTCTCCATCTATGGCAAGAAGACAAGTGCCAAAGTATCCGATGATGTGAGTCACATATTTACTATTTTTTCAGCATTATATAGGGTTATTTGTGTGGATGCATGATAGGGGTGTATTGTACTGTACATAAGTAGAACGGATAGTTTGTATTGCACTAATTTTGTTCACTGCATAATTTAGTGTCAATATTAAACTTGATAACTTGCTTGACTATCTGGATTTCCACCGCTTGCTGGCTGCGTCTAATTGGAGGTTTTTTGGTAACTTCTGTCCTTTTATTGTTTTCAGATTTCTACTCAGTACCCAGTAGTAGATCATGAGTTTGATGCTGTGGTGGTAGGAGCTGGAGGAGCAGGGCTGAGGGCAGCCTTCGGCCTGTCTGAGGCTGGCTTCAACACCGCCTGCATCACCAAGCTCTTCCCCACCAGGTCTCACACTGTTGCTGCACAGGTATGAGAACATACTGGATGTTATGTGTTCATTAAGGATTTAGATTATTTTTGAAGGTTTTTCTACAGAGTTACAAGTTCAGATAATTTTGTGTGATTAGACACATATAACTAACTCACAATACAGTGTTGTTTGGCACATTCTAAGCCTCATGTAGATTTAATCACTCAATTAAAAGTTCTTAATCTTTAATAAAGTAAATATTAACCTGGTTTACAGGGCGGGATTAATGCAGCTCTGGGAAACATGGAGGAGGATGACTGGAGGTGGCATTTCTACGACACAGTGAAGGGATCTGATTGGTTGGGCGACCAGGATGCTATCCATTACATGACAGAGCAGGCTCCTGCAGCCGTAGTGGAGGTAAGAAGACACCCATGCCCAATAGTGGATATGTAATTTTTTACTTTATTTTACTTTGTTTAATTAACACTTTTTTATTTTTGCATCCCATCAATTTTTGTATGCATCGCAGCAAATATCATCAAGTTGTTGTGCCTCTTTTCCAGCTGGAGAACTTTGGCATGCCCTTCAGCCGTACTGAAGAGGGCAAGATCTACCAGAGGGCCTTTGGAGGTCAGAGTCTCAAGTATGGAAAAGGAGGCCAGGCCCATCGCTGCTGCTGTGTAGCAGACAGGACAGGACACTCACTGCTGCATACACTTTACGGACGGGTAGGTCCCCACACGTGTTCTCTGCCCTTTATTTCACTCGGTTCCTTCATAAAATACCATGGAATACAGTTTAACCTAATTTCATGTATCCGTCTTCTGTACAGTCCCTTCGTTACGACACCAGTTACTTTGTAGAGTACTTTGCCCTGGACCTGCTGATGGAAAATGGAGAGTGTAAAGGAGTGATCGCTCTCTGCATGGAGGACGGATCTATTCACCGCTTCAGGGCCAAGAATACTGTCATTGCTACTGGGTAGGTATCACACTTACTGTCACAAAAACAGGAACAAATTAGACATTTGTCTTGTATCGACTCTCTGAACTTTGGCAGTAAACTTGAGATAGACAAGTTTAAAAATGAGTTGAATCTTCTCTTCCAGAGGTTATGGAAGAACCTATTTCAGCTGCACATCCGCCCACACTAGTACCGGTGATGGAAATGCAATGGTGACCAGAGCTGGCCTGCCCTGCCAGGATTTGGAGTTTGTACAGTTCCATCCTACTGGTGAGAGAAATAAAAAATATTCTTACTAACAAAAACGCAATCTTATTTATGAAAAGCCTTATCTTATTGTATATAGCAGTCTCTTTAATGCTCTACAGCAGCTAAAGGCATTCTTAAAATATATTTCTATATTTTTGATAGTAACTTGAGCTAGTGTTGTTTCAATAAACGTTCAAAGTCCAATATGTTGTCTTTCTGTAGAGGTGTGATAAGACTCTGCCTAGTTGTCCTGATTGTCTTTTGTCCTGTGGTGCGGTTGTTGCCATTTTATGTTTCTGAGTTTTAATTTCTACAAAAAACTAATTATGGGGTACAAAGAGATATAAACCATGTTGTGTAATGCTTAGACAACTTCCTGTGTCTGGGAGAGATAACGGATATATTTATCCTATTTACTTCATGGGCAATCTGTTACACTTGCACTTGGAATACTTTTAGGTTAGGTGAGGAAGTCATGCTTACATGTATGGAGGCTCCCCAATTTTTGGCTGTTCCATAACTCTGTTCAGGCCTGGCTGTCTCCAATAACAGACCAGTGGTCATCTTTATTTTTGTTCCTGCTGGGAATCTGACACCAGGCCCCTCTATGATGTGGCATGTAGGAGGTCAGCACCAACTGCTGAGCCACTGCAGATATTTTCACCTTTTGTAAACCCCAATATCAATATATCATCAAGAATATTTGACCCTTCTCAAATTTCAGCGAGTCCTTTTTAACATGTGAATCGTTCCAGGGATCTACGGAGCCGGTTGTCTGATCACAGAGGGTTGCCGTGGAGAGGGAGGCATCCTGGTCAACAGTGAGGGAGAGCGCTTCATGGAGCGGTACGCACCCAACGCCAAGGACCTGGCCTCCAGAGACGTGGTGTCCCGCTCCATAACCATCGAGATCAGAGAGGGCAGGTATGGATTAAATGAGTGTGTGATGTAGTGTTTATTTTGGCAGCTATTTTTCATTTAGTGTAAATCCTGTTTCAAATGGCCATTTTCATATTTAGTCTACCCTATCCTTTAATTAAAGGTTAAAGGGAATACAAGTCTTAGCATTATCAGGTAAACCCTACTACTTTAGTTTGAGTCAATAAAACTGGAGAATTACGTTTCAGTCAAACTACTCTAGCCAAAATATGACCTTGTTTTTTTCTAAAGAGCTCTGTTTTGTTTTTGTGCATCCTGACTGTGCTCAATGTGTGATGCCGCTCTAGTCCTGATGAGTTTTTTTTTTAAACTTTCTTTTCTGTCACTATTTTTCAATCTGTTCTTTTAGTCATAAAAATTACACTTTGATATAGCCTTGTTCGTCATGAAAAAAGGGGTTGTAAATGAACATACTTCTTAGTCATAGTTTGCATGAACAAAATGAACACTGGTATGTCATGTAACTGTGCATGCAAGAAATGTCAAAACCTTTGTACACATAAATCATTTCCTTCCTCCTGTGTGTGCTCCTTCAGGGGTGTTGGTCCAGAGAAGGACCATGTGTACCTGCAGCTCACCCACCTGCCCCCCCAGCAGCTGGCCACAAGGCTGCCTGGTATCTCAGAGACGGCCATGATCTTCGCTGGAGTCGACGTCACTACAGATCCCATCCCTGTTCTGCCCACCGTCCATTACAATATGGGTGGAATCCCCACCAACTACAAGGGACAGGTATGTGATGTGTGCACGAGCACCTGCATCCACACACACCAACAAAGTGACCCACCTTATTAACTGTTTTTCCCATCAGGTGATCACTTATACTGAAGGATCCGACAAGGTGGTTCCTGGCCTGTATGCGTGCGGCGAGTCGGCGTGTGCCAGTGTCCATGGAGCCAACCGGCTGGGTGCTAACTCTCTGCTGGATCTGGTGGTGTTTGGAAGAGCCTGCGCCCTCACCATCGCCGAGGAGAACAAGCCAGGTGAGCCCCCTCTTCTAATGCCTACTATAAGAATAATGAGTTTCTTAAAGCCAGGGAAGGCAGTTTTTTGGAAAAGGTAAAAAAGCAGTAGAATTTCCAAATACAGCCCTTATCCTGCAGCTCTCCTTTCTACACACTCTTTCCTGAGCCCCACCCACCAGAACCTGAACCAGTACTAGTCATTTTTTTCATTTACATTTTTGCAAGCTTGTGGGCCTGACATAACCGCAGAACATTTCTCTCGTCTTTTTAAAACACTTTCGATATTGTATTATTATGTTATATACTTTCTTATAGGCTCTCTTTGTACTAAGTCTGTCTTGCTTTTTCTGGGTTGTTTAAGCAGTTTAATCTGTCACCTTCTGAAGGGACGTGCATTTGCAAATGTAGAACAGCCAATAAGAATGCCTTCTCTCTGAAATGACCTGTGATTGGTCAAAGTCTTCC